CGGGAAGGCAAGGCGAAGCGGGATGTCTCTGCGATGGCAATTAGCTTCCAAGTACATGGGCTTCCTTGCCTTGCACCTTCTGTGCGCCCCACGTCAGCGTGCAGCGTTGCCCAGCCCACACAGTCATGCAGCTTCGGAATGTCGAGCGCTGAGATATCGGGCTAGCTATGTGGAGGTGAAAAATGGTCGCAATGTTACGCCGTCAAGTGAAACGCCTTTTGTCGAAAATCCGCTCAGGGTCCAGATTTGGGTCCCCGCAGATGCGCTGCAGCCTCCGCATGTCGTCGAGCCGATTCACGCGGATCAGCATCCAAAAAGCGGACGCCGGAACTGGTTTGGCCTCCCCACACGACTCCATCCGCGCCGCTGCCGACCCATCCACCCATCCACAACAATCACCGTCCTGTCCATCCATCCGTGCCTCCGTTCGATCGTCTGCTTTGCACAAGGTCACACCACAGCAAATGTCCGAGCCATCTGAGCCAGGTCCCAGCTCAGGGTCACAACCGCGCTCGCACGCAGCCGCGATTGCGCGCAGGAGGTCGTCGGGCAACCGCACCGCGCGCCCACGACCATCGCGAGCACGCGCCACCTCGTCCATCAGCCAGCGATCCGACGCCAGCAACATCAGCAGCGGCATACAGAAGCTCTCCTGGACTACCGGCGACTCTTTCGACTACGTCGACGACGATGCGCGCATCAGCGCCTTTCTCCATTGCCCCATCTGCCTCGGGCCCTTCCTCGAGCCCTTCGTCTCCAGCTGCTGCTCTCACACCTTCTGCAAGCACTGCATCCATACCGCCCTCTCAGAAGATGCGTCAGCACGCACGGATGCAGACGACGATGCCACCGCACCGCGCCCCAAGCGATGCCCAACCTGCCGAGCGTCCGCCGACTTTTCCCACTTTCAGCCTACCGCGCTTCTCATCAAGAACATGGTCGATACACTTCGCGTGCGATGCCCCAACAAGGACAAGGGCTGCGATCACCAGTGCGAACGACACCTGCTTCGCGGCCATGTAGCGTCGGAATGCGCGTACGAGTACGTCGACCAGAATCTCACAGAGGGCCGTCGATGCGGCTGCTCGGCCAAGGTCATGCGCAAGGATTGGGCGTCGCACGGCCTGACCTGCCCGAAGCGCCCAGTCACTTGTGCAACGTGCGACTCGGAACTTTGCTTTGACGAGCTCCAAGATCACTTGTCCACCTGCTCGCCCGAGCCGGCCGAATGCGAGTTCTGCGGGCTCACCACCATCAAGAGCCGCCTCGCTCTCCACGTCGTCGACGAGTGCACCGAAGCGCCCGTCGAGTGTCCACATGCTGCGTTCGGCTGTTCTTGGACGGGGCCGCGTCGCCGGCTCCGACGCGCCTCCAATCCTCTCTCCAAACAGATCGACCACGCACATCTCGAGGACGACTGCCGCTTCGAGCCACTCAAGCCGTTCTTTGGCGTCTTTACGCATCACGTCGAGCAGCTGCGCGACGAGAATCACGCGCTCAAGTCGCGCCTCGACGAGCTCGAGGCTCGGCAGTATACCCAAGCGCGTAGGGTGGATGACTGCGTGCACAGCCTGGGCACTTGGTATCGCTCGGCGGGCGAAATGCGCGCAGCCGATTTGGAGCAGAGGGCGAGGGGCTCGCAGGTGGGTGTGGACGGAGAGTGGGACGAGTTCCCGCTCGATGCGCAAAACTGGGAGAGGTCGCTGAGCCAGCAGAGCTTCTCGCGCCAGACGAGGGCGCACAGCGCGTCGGCTGTGGCGAGCATGGATCTGGAGATGTGGGCCAGAAGGCAGTACGCCGAAGCGTTGACGCCCGATCCAGTCGCCACGGCGCGGCCCAGCACTGGCTCTCAGCGCGCTACGCCTGGCGAGAGCAGTGGCTCTCGGTACTTGACGCCCGCTGCAGCTCGCTCTGCTCCCACATCATCCGTGCTTGCTCGGCGCCCTGGCCTCGTACCCTCGCCATCGACATCGCGCGAACGCGCACCGCAGCTCGGCGATGCCAGTGCGGCTGCACGACGTTCCGGGTCGAGCATAATGCTCGCGGCTCTTGAAGCAGGAAGCCTCGGTGCCGTGTCTCCTGGCAGCTACGGCTTTCCTGCTGCGGCGATGGAGGCGGAGCGCGAGCTGGACCGAAGCAGTCTAGACTCGGCCATCGCATCCCTCACTGCCTCTGTGGCAGGCCTGAGCTCCGGACTCAACAGTCTCGATAAGCGCACCGAAGAAGGTCACATTGCGGCCGTCAAGGCCGGCTTCGACGCTGGTCGCGTGCAGGAAGAAGTGGCGAGCCTCCGACACGGACTGCATGCGGTTCGAATGCAGATCCACCAGATCCTTATGCACCAGCAACGTCACGCGCTCTTCTCGCCACCCGTATCGAACCTACCTTCTGCTGCGTCCGGTTCCAACGCTGTGCTGCACGAACAAGCTCCACCGCACAACCCCGCCAACCTACCCATGCTCACGCCACCGCTACTGCGCAGATGGGCCGGGCTCGACCAAACCAAGCTTTGACGCGCCGTCAGTGCGGACATGGTTATGTGTAATGCTAGGTATATTGCATGCGTGACCTCATACCGAGAAAGAAAGGTACGCTAGAGAAAAGCCCAGACGGTGCCTGTGGCGGCCATGACGGCCGAGGCGGCGAGGATGAGGATGTCGAGTGCAATGCGCCAGCGCCTCATCTCGGCACCGAACAGCTTGAGGTTGGCGAGCAGCGGGCCAAACACGCACGTTGCAAACGCGAGGAACGCACCCAGGAACGCCATCACCTGTTCGAAGCCCGGCAGCACCACGGCCGTCACGGCGATGAGCGCCGTCAGCCCGACCTTGAGCGCGATCTGGCAGTTGCGTCGCATGCGCGGAGACAGTTTCTGCGCCACCTCGGCGGCACGGATCGACACTGCTGAGCCCGCCAGTGGGTTGTCGTCGGCTGCCGCCTCTGCCGTCGTTGGATCGGCGCCGAGCGCACCGTTTGCAGCCGCGCCAGGAGACGATTCTTGGGCGGCCACCTGGGGCGTGGCGAACGAGACACGCTGGTTGGGCGAGACCGAGAGCGGCGTACCCGTTGCCTCGGTCGTCAGCTGGGCGAAGCGGTCTGTCGCCGAAATTTCAGCCTCCAACGCGCCCGAGGTAGGCTTGGCACATTGCGCCTTGGTGATGGAACGCGCTGCTGAGGAGCGCCTGCGTTTGCGCATCTCCATCCTCGCTGCCGTCTGATCGTCGATGCCGAGCAGAATCTCAAAGGTGGTCTGGATGGGCCTTGTTGCGAGCGCAAACTTGGAGAGCGGATTGATAACGATGAGCCAGATGGCGATGCTGTTGAGCACGACGGGGAATCCGGGGGTGCGCGCGAGGTCCTTGGTGATCTCATCGGAGACGCTGACGCCAAACATGGCATAGCCCACCATGCCCATCCCAAGGTAGAGCACGGTGGCGGCGACGTAGGCGAGGTTGAGCATGCGCGGGAACTTGGTCGGGTCCTTCATGTCGCGCACCAGCGACGGGATGATGGGATGCGACGAGAAGCCCGACATGATCAGGCCGAAGCTGAGCGGCAGCCGGTTCCAGCGCGGCCCGAGCGTGGTGGGTGCGATCTCCCACAGACTTCCCGGTGCCTGCTTCTTGATGAGGCCGTCGCTGACCACGACGACGACGAGCGTAAAGGTGGACACGATGCCGATCACCGAGATGGGCGACAAGAACTTGAGCGGTAGGAAGACGGAAGGCAGGACGATGAGGTAGCCGAGCAGCTTGAAGGCCGAAGGGGCAACGTCGGGGAAGATGGCGGCCATGGAATCGCCAAAGAGGATGATGAGCGCTACCGAGACGGCCCAGAGCTCCAAGCAGAAGAAGAGGCTGATGAGGATGCGAGCGGAAGGGCCAAAGGCGTAGCTGCCAATGTCGGCGTAGGTGCGCAACGATGGCTCCTTGGACATGATCTTTGCGAGCACCTTGCCCGTGTAGTTGGTGAGCAGACCACAGATGAGAAAGAGGACGGTGCCGCCGACCCAGCCGGCGTAGGAAAAGGCGAGAGGTAAGGCAAGGATGCCGACGCCGACGAGAGCGTTGACCGTGTTGAACCAGGACTGCAGGAGGGTGCTGGTGCCGAGCTCGTGCGGCTGCTGGAGACCGGATTCGGAGCGGTGAGAGACTGCGCCGGAGCCCGAGTGGCGGCGGATTGCACCGTAGGAAGCCGCCGACTTGCGCCTGGGCACGCCGGCGTCCGAGGTGGGGTCGCGCGAAAGGAGAGGGGCATTCTCGGCACTTGCGTTGGCGAGATCGGCGTCATCTTCGGCGAAGGGATCGCGAAGGACGTGACCGGAAGCGGTAGAGTAGTGGGATTGTCGGTTGGCGTCTGAGCGGGAGGGGTTGAGCTTGCTGTTGGAGGCGCGTTCGCGCGGGCCCGAGAGACGCTTGGGCGATCTGCTCCTGCTTCTGCTGCGCTCGTCCTCGTCGGCGCTCTCGAGTTGCTCGAGCCGGCGGTCTCTGAGCTTGGAGCGCCGCCGTGTGCGTTGGGTTGCGTTGGGGGGCAAGGTCTCGCCTTCCCAGTCGAACTCGTCCGAGGGGCCGAATCTTGCGTCGCTTGCCATGGAGGCGTCGTCAGTGTCTGCATCGGTGCCGGAGCGAGAGTGTGAGGTGTTGGCATCGTAGTCTGTGCTCTCGTCGCCCGAGAGATCGTCCTCGTCGTCCTCGTAGATGCTGTCGCCGTCTTCGGGATCGCGGCCCGCCCACCTGCTTTCTACAAACGACGGCGAGGTGGCTATGTTGTTGCCATAGAATGCTTGTGAGCGCGAGTAGGACCACACCAGGTCGAGACTGCTCCTCCACGCGGCTTGCTGTCCGTCACCACGTGCGGAAGCTCTGGCCTGGTCACGGGGCACGGGGATGCTCTTGTTGGATGTGCGGGGCGCCATGCTGGTCAATAGCTTGGATGGCGAGCTGAGTGATGTTGTGGCAGTGGCATGGCACGATACGTCGGAACGAGGATGGCGATCTTGGTCAGATGCCGCGTTGCGACGATGGTGGTGAGAGGCGAAAGAGGCTCGTCGGTTCTTGGGTCGAGGTAGGGTGACCAAGCACGAAAACAAGCGTGGACGGCGTGGACGGCGTGGGTGAGCTCGGAAGGATTGCGAGCACCGACGGGCCAATGGCAAGCTGCGGCGAGGTGTGGGAGGGAGGAAGGGAGGGTGAGTCGGTTGAGTCGGAGCGACGCCAAGCACCATGCATCTGAGCTGCAAAGCAGGCGTGTGCATCCGACGCTGTCCATGTGGGGTGCGCGCTGCCAAAGTCGCGCTGTGGAGGCGGCCCGACGATGTGATTGGACAGCGATGGCGGAAAAAGTCGAGGGCTGCTAGATAAAGTTGGATACGCCTGCACTGCTCGATTGCCGCTGGCTTCAACTGCACTCGCTTCGGACGCTTCCCGCTTCATCTGCTGTTTCGAAATTGCGCCGCAAAGTCTCGACCGCTTTCTCGAAACAGTTGCGCCGTGGGAAGCCGGTGGGACGTCTCGCCTCCCGTCACACGACATGTGGGCTGCAGCCCAATCAACCACAAAATCACATCACATCAAATCATTCGCTCTCCAGTCAATGTCGGCTTGGCCGTTGTTGAGAGCAAGGGTAAAATCATTGTTGGCATTCCGAAAGATCTACAGACAGGTCGACATCGGAGATCAAGGCATCACCGGCGTTCAGTTGATGGCGGCCACCTCGTGCAGGTAGAGGCCGAGGAGCTTGGTGCCCTCAATGTAGTTGGAGATGTCGAGCTTCTCGTTGATCGAGTGCGCGCCGTCGTCGCTGCGGCCCATCGGCAGCAGCAGAACGTTCTTCTGCAGCGTGTCGGCAAACGTGAGCGTGACGGGAATCGAGCCGCCCTCGCGCGTCAGATCCGGCTTCACGCCGTAGATCGTCTCGGTCGCCTTGATCGCCGCCTCGTAGTTCCAGTGGTTGGGGTCGGCCAGCCACGGCTTGCCACCGTGCTCGCTCGTGAGGTTCATCGTGTTCTTGCTGCCGATCTTAGCAAACTCGTCGTTGACGTACTTGGTCACCAGCTCGTTCACCTTCTCCGGCGTCATGTCCGGCACCAGGCGAAGCGAGAACTTGCCCACCACCTTGGCAGGGATCACCGTCTTGGTGCCCGGCTCCGAGAACGCTCCCTCGATGCCGTGAAGCGACAGGCACGGGTAGCGCATGCGTCCCATCAGCACCGCCGCCTTGTCGTCGCTAACAGTGGTCTTGCTGCCCGTGGCGCCCTCAATGTCGCTGAGTTGGAAGTCCATGACGTCGTAGCGCTTGCGCTCCTCGTCCGTGAGAGGAGCCACAAGCTCCTTGATGCCAGGGATCAGGATCTCGCCCTTGGCGGTCACCAGCTTCGACATGATCGTGAAGAGGTCGGTCATCGGCTCGTGCACCACACCGCCGAACACGCCCGAGTGCAGGTCGCGGGCCGGGCCCGAGATGGCCAGCTTGAAGTACGCAATGCCACGCAGGCCGTGCGTCAGGCAGGGCTTCTGCGTGCCCAGCCAGTAGTTGTCCGAGATGCAGACAGCGTCGACGCCCTGGAAGAAGCTGTCCTTCTCGGCCGCGATGAGCTCGTCCAGACCCACGCTGCCGCTCTCCTCCATGCCCTCGAAGCAGAACTTGAGGTTGACCGGCATCTCGATGCCAGCCTGCTGGTGCGCCTCGATGGCGTTGAGCCAGCCAAGGATGGGTCCCTTGTCGTCGGTCGATCCACGGCCGTACATGCGACCCGTCTTCTCGTCGGTGATCAGCTCGAAAGGCTCCGTGTCCCAGCCGTCCGACTTGAGCGCAGGCTGCACATCAAAGTGGCCGTACACAAGGATGGTCTTCTTCTTGGGATCCTTGCCCAGGTCGCCGAGGATGACGGGCGGCAGTTCGATCTCCTGTCCGTCCAGCACCTGCTTGCCCAGAGGCTTAAGCTCGGCCGTGGCACCCAGCTGCTTGAGCTCGGCGAGCAGCCAGTCAGCCATCTCGAAGCAATGCTTGCGGTACGCAGCGTCGCCAGACACCGACGGGATCGAGACGGCCTTGGCAAGGCGGTCGATCAACGCCGCCTTGTTGGCGTCGATCTGCGAGACGAACTTCTTTTGCTCTGCGGTAGCCATGGTGAAGTCTAAGGGATGGGATGGAGTGAGAAGGCAAGAAGCTCTTGGTGGCCGATTCGCCACATGACCCCACCGAAGGTTCAGCCGAGTTTCCACTCCCCCAGCTCCACTCGATGTCGTCGCTGGCTGCCCAACTGCCATACAGATAAGCTTCCCGCTCTCTGCACAGACCAAAAATTTCGCCTTTGCCGCCCTATTATTCAAACTGGCTCGAGCGTATCAGAGCTGTGCGTCGACTTTCGCGTTTATCGGTCGGAACTCTCCGCAGTAGTTTCCAAGCTTCCTGCGTGGCACCGATAGCCCAGCACAACCGGTCATTGGTGCTCTTCCTCGTCGCTATCTCGGCCTACTGTAGCCCTTCCATGATCATAGTTCGATGGCAACCTGGCAGCCTTGCTCGTTTTCGCTGCTTTGGAGCCGCATGACCATCGGTGTTCCTGGCGGCGAAACAGCAACGAAAGCGTTTCGGGCCAATTTTTCGGTGTTAGACTCGCACTTTGTTTTTCACGATTTTTCGAGCCGCTCGAGCCACTGCAAAGCTCCACTCGGTCCTCGTGGCGTTCGCGCATCGGTCTGCATCTTCACGGTCACCTGCAGCACAGCTTGTCATCCTTTCCTTCCATCATATACCCGATGACCATGTCGACATCAGCTCCCAGAATCGTATGTATTGCACCTCCCTTGCAGAAGCTGGACACGAGGCTAACAACCATCGTGTTCCTGCACTGCGGCCGAGCAGCAAGCACTCGCCATCGTCTCACCACGAGGCGGGCCGATCTACGTCCGCCAGTTCGGAAGCGCTCCAAGCTCGTCAACGGCGGCTGATTTGCGGTACCACTACTTTTCCCATGCCGCACTCGATGTGATGGACGAACGCACCGCGCTTGCCACCGCTCCGGGCGCATCGTCGAACAGAACCAGCTCAGAGCAGTACCTTGGCCTGCTGTCCACGCTCGAAGACCTGGCGATCTACGGCTTTCAGACATGCGCCAAGCTGCGCTTCCTGCTAATGATCTCGTTGACTGACCATGCGGTGCGCGACATCGACATGCTCACGCTCTTCCGCGCTGTCTACACATCGTACCTCAAGTACTCGGCGAATCCGTTCCATTCGCTCCCACCAACAGCATTCGCACGAGCAGCCGATAGTAATAATGAGGCAGCGGTAGCACAGGAGGAGCTGGAGCAACGGCAGGCGAGCAATCTGCCAATCAATTGTCGGCCAATACGCAGCTCGGCTTTCGATGCCAGGATCGACCGCATCGTCTTTGGAAGCGCGAGCACTGCAGGAGCTCCGAGGGAAAGCGGGTCAGCCCCAAGACCAACAGCTGCTTCAGCTGCTCGATAGAACTGATAATACCCTGTGTTGCTGTCATACACATCTGACTGTGTCGCTACAGAGTGTGTGCAATCGCCGTGTTTGTTGCAGAACGGCACCTTCCCTCTTCATCTCCTCCATCCGGTCCACAGGAGCGTTGTGCTGACAAACCCCGTCGTGGCCGGTCTCACGATGCTCTGAAAGCCCCCATATCGTGGGACTGTGCTGCTCCGGGTCGCACAACAACCCCCAGATCCTCCTCGACCAAGATCAATCTCTACACCGTTCGCACGACGAACAAATCCCACACAGACGCCTCCGATTGAGCGACCACAAGCAGCTTCCAGAGTGGCCAGCACAGATACGGGCGTCACATTTCTTCCTTTGCACAACGATCAGATGACAGCCATTTGCCGCTGAAATACAGGGTCGTGTTCAACCTCGAGCGCAGTTCTACTTCTTCGTCTTCTTGCCCTTGCCGTTCTTCTCTTCAGCTGCGCCCTTGCGCTTCCTGGGCCGCTCCTCCTTTTGCTCGTCCTCCTGCTTATACACGATGTCATCCGAATCACTGCCATCCTCATCGTCCTCCTCGTCCTCCTTCTTGGCGGCACCGTTGGTGTCGGGAGCGCCTTTGGTGGTATTCTCCTCTCCCTTTGGCGGCTTGGCCCAGTCAGGGATCTTGGCACCGGGTCGATTGTTCCAGTCGAACTCCTTGGGCTCTTTGAATCCATGCTTCTTCCTCAGCATGTCGTCCGCCTTGCCATCGAGCACCTCCTTGCTCGTGCCGTGCAGGTTGGCCTGGTAGCAGATCTTCATGCGCTGCATGTTTTCGCCCTTGGTCTCCTTCTCATCCAGCATGGGGAACGGATAGTCCTTGCCGATTATGCATCCGGCCTTCTGCTGTACGTCCTTGGGCGCATTGAAGGGCTCATAGATGTACTTGTCCGGGAACTTGGCCAGCTCGGGGCAGTACTTGCGCACCAGCGCGCCCGTCTTGTCGTACTTGGCCGGGAACGTCGCGAGTCCGTACAGGCGGAAGTACTGCGTGAAGAAGGCCGAGCACGAGAGCCACATCCAGTTGCCTGGGTTCGAACATGGATCCCAGTCGATCAGGTACTCGTCAAAGATCTCGGCACCACGTTCCCACGAGATCCAGCACTGGCCGCGGGTCAGGAAGGCGGCGACAGAGTGGCGTCCGAGATGGTGCATCCAGCCTTCGAGACGGAGCTGGCGCATAAGCGCGTCGATCCACGGAAAGCCGGTCTGGCCCAGCTTGAACGCCGACAGCCTGGCTTCGCTCACCGCATCGCCGGGCGGGCGGGGAAGGATGACTTCGCCATTCTTGTCGTAGTGCGTGGGGAGGTACCAGTCCATGTATCGGCACACCTCGTTTCCGCGCACGCGCTGGAAGTCGTCTCCGATCGCATGCTCGGCGCATGCGTACATGTCTCGGAAGAGCAGCTGGCCATTCAGGTTCTCCGGAGGCCCAGTCTTGCTGCCGCCCTTGTACTTCTTCTTGGCCTCCTCGGCGTCCCACCACAACTTGCGCACACTGAGACAGCCAAACTTGAGGTAGGGCGAGAGCAGCGTTGTGGAAGGATCCTCGGCCGACTGGCCAGGCGAGGTCTTGGGCTTGGCGAATGTCGCCACATACTCGGCGTCTTTGCAGATCTTGGCGAGCTTCTCGAGCGCCAGTGGCTCGCCACCCTTGATGGTGGCCTTGCCCTTGCTGGCATCCATGCCGATCGACTCGAGTGTGGGCACCGCAAACAGCTCCGCAGCTTCGCCGTTGACCGTGTTGTAGCACGTCACTTCCTTGTCGCGCTGCCCGCCGAGCTCGGTCGAGTTGAGGTCCATCGAAGCTGGTCCTTCGCGGCCCTTGCCCGTGTAGTGCGGAAGGCCGTCGAGCGAGTCGGCGAGGTCTGCCAGCAGATCCTTGAGTGTCTTGGACTTGGAGTCTTTGAGCTGAGGCAGCGGCAGGTCTTTGGGGGCGTCCAGCGGCTTAGGAACGTCGCCCATGTCTGAGACGATCTTTTGAAGCGTGCTCATCGCCATGGTGGGCTTGCCCTTGTTGCGCTTCACCACCTCCTCTGGGTCGAACAGATGATGGCCTTGCACCGCGACCACCTCGACCTTGCTCTTCTTGGCCGCCTCGCGGATGAGCGTATCGCGTCTTCGGCCGTATGCGGAGGGATCCTTTTCGATGACGAGATGGGTGATGTCCCAACGCTTCCACAGCTCTGGCAGCAGCTCGGTCGGCTCACCACGAACCACGAGCAGCTGCGAGTTGGACTGCGTCGCGGTGATGCGCTCCGAGAGTGCGTTCATCGATTCGAGCAGGAAGCGGAACCGGTTGACACCGACGCGGTGCTTGTAGACGTAGTTCGGGTCCCAGCACCACACCGGGAAGAGCGCGGCGGGCTTGAGGTCCAGAGCTGCTTGCAAGGCGGGCGAGTCGTGCAACCGCAGGTCGGTGCGGAACCAGTAGAGCACACGAGCAGACTTCGACATGATGTTCAGCAAGCCTCAAGGCGACAGTGAGGATGGGATGCTGTTGCCAGACTGTGTGACAGTCAAGAGGCTGGATGCTGCTGCTGGAAGGAGTGGTTCTGCATTTCCACAACACATTCCCGCGCACAGACAGGGGAGAAAGCAGCCAGCGAGACCATGTGGAGGATCACGGCGCTTCCTCCCCACTTTGCCGTGTCAAGAAGCGGTCTGGTTGATATGCAGACGCCGAAACATGGCATCCATGGGCTCTGTCGCTCTTTGCCTTGCGGCTGCTGGGAGCTTACGTTACAGCCATGCGAGGCGCCGATCTGGACGGCTGTCTTGTCTTGGAAATTCTGACGTTTCGGCTGTGCGCGCTTGCAGTCGCTACATTCTGCATCACCGATACAGGGCTGGCAAAATTCCGATGAGGCCTCCCATCGGGCGACCGTGCGGAGAGCGGTGTGTCGCCTGGACCCGTCCGTACGTCCCAACCGTGCGCGAGTCTTCGAGACGTGCGACGTGCTTCCACATCTTTGCCCACGACAGACATCGATCCGGCTCCTCTTGTCGGAATAGTGGAGCATCGCAGTCATGACAGCTGCAGGGAAGCTGCTGCTCACCATTGGAACCCGTAAGCGTCGATTGATTTGGCACGGATTTGCATCGATCAGGAAGCAAGCGATTGACCGTTCTTCCCATCATCGCAAATCCACCCTACAGTCGTGTTCTTCCATGCGGCCTACTCGACGTATGAGCGTAAGTATCTCTCTCTATCCTGCATCGACTTCTTTCGGCAGCCCCTTGCGTTCAGTCCTGCCTACATAGCAAGGTCCCATGGACTCATCCTGACACGTCTCTTTCATAACTCCGTACCGGCGACAACAGATCTGTCTCTCAGGAAGGCGTTAGGCCTTGTTGGTGCCGAGGCCAACACGATGCCGCTCGATGTAAGCAGCTCTTCTCAGTGCTGTCGCAAGACTTTTGGCCCAAGCTGACTGTCCCTCCTCACGCCCCCGACCCTCTGTGCCGGACAGATCACGCTCGAGACGCTCGTTTCGTTTGTCGTCATCCTGCTCGGCATCGCATTCACAGCTGCACCCCTCAAGAACGTGACGTGGGCAAGCGAGATGCGCACAAAGTACGTTGGATCCCGTCACGATCTCTGCTGTTCTTGCATCACTGCTAACGCATCTCTCCATGTTGCTCCTTTGCTGCACTCTTCAACGACAGAACGATCGACGAAGTCGACTCACGCTCCAGCTTCGCCACACTCACACATCGAGGTCAGGTTCTTTTCGACAGGGAGTAGCCTAGTCACCCGATGCCACTCATACGCGATTGTAATCTCATCTCGGGCGCATTCAAACCAGCACGACCACACAACACAGGCATGCGCTTGCTTTGGCGATCGTTAATGTTTCAAAAGGACACTCGCTGGCTCTAGCGGATCTACATATTATGAGCCGCGTCCTTCTCCTCGGAACTGTGGCTCGCGACTTCGACAGCGGGCTTCGAGTCCCCCGGCAGCGCGGTCGAGTGAGCATGTTGCGGGCGGATGTGAGCCGCGGCGTCTTCTGGCGCTGCACCGAGCGGACCGACGTAGTGCCTGCTGCCCCAGGCGAACCACCATGCTGCACTAAGCACAAAGAAGAAGGCAAACACGACCGAGGCGTAGTTCATCGTCGAGGCCTCCACGGTAGCGGTGGTGGGCATGCAGAAGAGCACGGTGGCCAGCACGATCCAGACGAAGGTGATCGCATTGATGACGTAGCCAAACTTGCCGAGCGTCCAGGGCGCATCCTTGAGCATGGCGCGACGCCTGAACATGGCCACGGCGATGGGAACGCCGTAGCTGATGCTGAGGCAGATGGTGGCGACGCCGGTGAAAGCCGAGAAGGCGGCCGTGTTGCCGAGGTAGATGAGACCGAGCAGCGAGACGACGATGGTCGAGAGGATGAGCGCATTGAGCGGCAGGTCGAGCGTCTTGTTGACCTTGCTCCAGTACTTGCTGCCGGGAATGGCGCCGTCACGGGCAAAGGCCCAGGTGCAGCGGAGGGCGACGGTGAGCGAGCCGATGCCGGCAAAGGTGAAAACGCCGAGGATGATGAAGAGCAGACCAAAGCCTCCGCCAGCGGAGCCCGTGGCGAGGGAGAAGAGTACGGGGATGGGCTGTCCAGCGGCGGTCGAGAGAAGGTCGGCGGCATCGGGGGTCAAGATGAAGAGGATTGGGATGAGGTAGAAGAAGCCGGTGATGCTGGCTGCGAGCACGGAGTAGACCATAGCCTTGGGCACCTGCTTCTCGGGCTCGGACACCTCCTCGCAGAGCGCAGCGACGGTTCCGTAGCCAGTGAGCGTGTACGCGGCCTGCAGAAGGCCGACGAAGAAGGCCCATCCGTCGGGCCAGCCACTGGTGTTCTCCCAGCCCGAGAAGACGAACTTGGCATCCTTGCGGCCGTCCTTGGCGCGGGTAAGCACGGTGATGGCAATGATGATGGTGCCTGCTGCAGTCCAGTAGAAGGAAAGCGTGTTGAGGCGGT